AGTATCTGCATAGAAATTTCTTCAAATAAGTTATGTAAATAGTCAATAAGCACATGAAGTGATGCTCAACAGCAGTAGCCATTAGGGGATGCAAATCAAGACCACATTGAGATCCCACTTCACAAACACTATGATGGCTCAATCAAAGAGACAAGTAATAATAAGTGTTGACAAAGCCGTAGAGAAACAAGAATCCTCGTGAATTGCTGCTGGGAAAGTAAAATGGCTAGTTTGGCAGTTCCTCCAAGTGACTTACCGTATGACCCAGTGATTCTACTCTTAAGTGTGTACCAAAGAGAAATGGAAACATATGTCCACAAAAAACTTGAACACAGATGTTCATAGCAGCATTATCCATGATAGCCAAAAGGTGGTACCAATGTAAAGGAAAAAATAAACAAAATGTGGAACATCCATACGCCAGAATATTATTGTCCAGTAAAAAAGAATGAAGCACTAAAACATCCTACAACATGGATAAACCTTGAAAACATATGCTAACAGGGAAGAACTAGGATACATATTGTATGTTTCCATATATGTATATAATGTCCAGAATAAGCAAATCTACAGACACAGAAAGTAGGGTAGAGATGAGAGGCAGGTGTATGGAAATAGGGAATGACTGTATTGGATATGGAGTCTCCTTGGGGGTTGATGAATATTCTACAATTAATCATAGTGATGGTTGTGTGTCTCTGGGAATATAGTAAAAACCAATGAATTGTACAATTAAATGTGTGAAATGTATGGTAAATGAATTATATCTCAGTAGAGTTGTTTAAAAAAAACATGCATGAGCTGGAATCCAATAAGAATGGCTAAAACCGTTGTCCATTCTTCTTATTTCTGACCTTCAAAACAAGGAAATCCTGCAGAAGCTGGTGTCTTCATCATGGACCTCCCCTTGTATGCTGGGCTTAGAAGTCAAAAAAACTAAAGAAGGACCCAGGGGAAGGTGAAGTAATCCAGGCCCAGGTGCTGCTTAACGCCAACAAGGTGAGCCAACAGATCACTAATGATGTATGTGCGCTACAAAATGGCAGCCACTTTTCTTCCACCCTCCAGGTCTCACAAGAGCCCTCTTTGTGGCTCTGGCTCGCTGTGGCTAGACTCAGAAGAGAAGAGATTTTTGGGAAATGTAGTTCAGCCTGAACAAGCTGAATTATTCTCAGGCCTTCAGCTTGGACTGAATTATAATTACACCCCTGGCTTTCCTAGGTCTCTAGCTTGCTGACAACAGGTCGTGGGACTTGTCAGCCTCCATAATCATGTGAACCAATTCTTCGTAGCAAATCTCTTTGTATATATCCTATTGGTTCTGGGTCTCTGGAGAACTCTGGCTAACACAGTGACGTTTCAAGAAATGGTAGGTAATTACCTCCAAAGAATGAAGGTGGAAACAAAGATGAACTGTTGTCAGAACAGCAACTAGATTAGGACCAGAAATGCTGTAGAATAAGAGGTAGATTTTTTTTTATCAAGTCTTCCATTAAAGAGTTGAGCCCCCACGTTCATAAATACAGAGTGAGTAGACAAGGTGAGCAAGGTAGAGTGTGCATTACTCCAAAAGCAAAGGAAAATATACCCCAACAGGTGATTTTGTGAGTGTTGTCCATAACCATGCTTTCCCTGGGTGAAATTTTTGAAGACCACACAAGGAGAGATCCAGATCTGACTCTGATGCTAACCATGGCAGCAATTTTAAAGACAATTCACAGGGTCACCTGGGTGGCTTAGTGGTTGAACATCTGCCTTTGACTTGGGTTGTGATCCTGGGATCCTGGGATCAATCCTGCATTGGCACAGGAAGCCTGCTTCTCCCTCTGCCTATGTCTCTGCCCCTTTCTTTGTGTCTCTCATGAATAAATAAATAAAATATTTTAAAATAAAAACTAAAATAATAAAGACATTTCACAAAAAGAAAAACAAAACAAAAAACACAAGTAGCAAGACAGACAAGTGCTCAGAGTTTTCAAGAGCTGCAGGGCAGTTTTGTAGAATGGAAGACAGTTGAGTATACTGGCAGTGATCAGACCTGGGATGACATAGGCTAATTCTGGGAAAATGTTGTGGATCTATCAGAGAAGCTGATAAGATGGCAGAGGTGAGGAATGCTGGGAAGATTACAGGGTCCATGGCGTTCCTGTTGTGCTGATCACCCACTTGGCAGGCACAAGTTACTGGCTGATCAAGAGAGCTTCAAGTCCTATTTGCCTCAAGGGGAAGCCATATTGCCCAGGAAGTCATACCTCCCTGAAAATTCCTGATCCCGATTCCCCCCATTTCCCTAGAAATGATATCTTAATTGATTTTTAATTATTTTCATTTCTCAAAGTTAATTACCCTCCAAAGTTATTATGATGGCCAAATCGCTCTGCCGGCCTGTGTACGTGTGTGATGGGTGTGTATGGGCATGTGGTTTGTGGACTTAAGCAGGTACATGAATTTACAATCATCTGTGACTGTCCTTCTTGGTCCAAGATAATTGTTGCAATCTTGATACTACATGTGTGATGAGAGCTGAGAACAACCCATCGGTACAAGAAAAAAACAACTGGAAAATGTCTTCATGCTTGTGTCTAGGATGGAATTTCGCACACTTGCTCAGTTCATGACATACTGGGTATCTCAATAATATTTCATTTGCATGGCAAATCTGGGCCGAAAGAAAAACCTGTTCCCTGTATTAAGTTGTTAGGTCCAAAGAGCTTAATAAGTAATTATGTCCTAACAACTTAGCAGCCATTTGAGAAAAATAATGCACATAAATGAAGTTCCCAACCACCTCCACTATCTGCAGCCTCAATCACCCTATCTTTGTTCCACCACTCCTCCCTACCTGAAGCATCCCCCTGCCCAGTTCTCTCCCTACACACAGTTTCTGTCTTCATAACACACTTAAGTATTACCCTACCCACCTGTCACACCCTCCCCTGCCTCAGCCTCCCCGCTTTGCCGTGAGAATTGCTCATGCTTTCCTCCATGCTTCCTGAGGACTCTGTCCATGCCCTTAACACAGTATCCGTTATTCACTGGTGATAGACTGCTTATGTTTAAGTGAGGAAATGTGTTTAATTCATGGCTCTCTCCTCAGCTCCTAATGGGGTCTGCCAACTTGTAATTGCTTAATATACATTATTCACTGAATGAATGATCAATGTTAACAATCTCACCCAGAAACCTTTAGGTGACACCATGTGAGAACTCTAGGTGCCAGGCTGCATATAAATGCACAGCTCTGTATATTTGTGTGTATATGCAAGTCTACATACACATGTGCAAGCCTATGTATACATTTGCACTTATAATGTACGTATGCATTGTACCTACACATCTGCCTACATCCTAGTTTCCTGAATATTGGTTCTGGATCCTCATCCTGGGCAGATCACAGAGATTCAATTACCTACTCAATATCACACAGCTAGTATGTAACAGAATTAGAATTTAAGCCCAGGTGAATTAGCTCCATGTTCTTAACCAATATGCTCCCTGTGTCTCATTCCTCCTGGCTGAATTCTTTCATAGGAGCATGTATACAACAAAAAAGTCTCCCAAAACAAGTGAAATGAACTGCTTGTGATTTGCCCCCAACCTCAGCCCTACTGCCCGCTGCTTCCCCAAAGACCCATCCACTGTCATAAAATCTACGAATTCAATAAATTCAGCACACGAACATGTAGTGCCCTAATCTTTACTAGATATTGGGGCAGAGTGTGGCCCCTACCATGGCTAAAAAGAGAAAACACAAACATTATAGACTATAAGAGGAAAATATACGAGGTATATGGGAGTATGGAATAGGATGTAGCATCTCATGCTGTTAAGAAAATCACAAATGACCCCAGAGGAGGACACCAGGCTCCCAGAAAGCAAGGTCCTATTCAAACCAGCCAAAGTAAATTCATTCCAAAATAAGTAGTCAAATTCTGAATGATGCTGGTGCATTTGAGGCAACACCTCATTGCCCCAAGACAAAGAGACCAGGGAGCCCACCCAGCTCTACCAAAGCCTTAGGCAAGCCATACCCTAACCCTGTGTTTTGGTATCCTCCATCTGCAGGTGCTCTATGGAGTAGGCTGAACTCAATAGACTATCTTTAGCTCCAAAGCTAAAGCCCATTCTATATTAGATTCCAAATATGTAATAAAATATTCATAATAGTTCTCCAAAAATAAGAAGAAAGAATAGAATTTAAAGTAGATGCAGTTATTTTAACTTTTGGCAAAAGAACCTAGAGATCAATGACCAATGGCCACAGAACCCATAGGGATGCAGAGTCTTTCATGCGTAGCCCATCATTCTTCTTGAGTATCCGAGCGATAACACTCACATCACTCCCTGCAGCCCCCTCCCATACTCTGAAACTTTCCTTGTTGGTGAGCAATATTTAATATCGCTGAGTACTACCTTGTGCCCAGAACGGTACTAGACTCTTCCTATCTATTGCCTTACTTCACCTTCTTAGCAATACTGTGAAGACAATCATCCTACTTTCATGGATAAGAAAACAGACTCAGAAGTTAAGTTATTTGCCTAAGGTCCCCCAGCAAAAGCTAGTTGAGGATATTATTCTACATTTAATGGCCTTTTCATTCTTTACATAGCTGGCTTTGACAGTATGTAGTAGAGTAGAGGAGGCAAAAGAAGAAATGAGTCAATAATAAGGTAAACATTCTGAAGACAAAGCCCAGAAAATCAAAAGATTATATTACATCAAAGTTTTCACAGCATATTCATCCTCCGTTAAAAACACAGCATGTAAACTCTTTGAATAGTTAACTTACTTAAAAAGAAAGGAACCTATGTTATTTCCTTTCCATGCCTGTTTGCTGCTACCTTGCTTGCTTTTTCACGTTTGCTCAAGAAAATGCCTCCACTGGATATAAACACTGAGAAGGGCAACTTCGGGTTCCTTTGAGTGTAGGATAAGGTGTGCTGAAAATCACACTTACATTCCACAACTTGTTATACCAGCCATTCAAGAGCCAACGCAGTGTACATTGGTTTATAACCTCTGAGAAGCAAGCACCACATGGAAGTAGATGCACAAGAGATTGGTTGGGTAAAAGACCTATAAAGATAAAAGAAAGAGAGAATGGGAGTAGATCGGAGAGAATCTTCATACTGTAATGCAGGTTTGACACCAATGAAAAGAAGAAGAAGTGGAGAGAGGGAAGAAAACCATCCACCAAAAGGATAGGTCTGTGGAGAATCATCATCTGCCACAAAGTTCTCCATATGAAAGATACTTAAGTTGATGGAATGAATAAACCATCTCCACATTTAAGCTACTAACTTATGCTTTAATGTCTCCCATTTGAGGTCATTCATTCATCAAATAGATACATGCATCTACTACATACCAAACATTATACTGGATACTGGGGATGCTGGTATTCATGGTTCCTGCCTGCAAGAGACAAATAGTCATCACAAATATGAAAAAATATTTATTTTTCTAAGTGCTCTGATGGTGGAATACACAAGGCACTTAGATGATTGCTATGGTTAGTATGTGTCTGTTGCAAGAAACATAAAAACAAACTCAAATTGACTTAAATAGGGTGGTTATTGCTTCCCATAAATGCTTTGATAGCATAGTTGTATTTTCCTCTCTTTCTGTGTTCAGAAAGGGCATCTGTGACCTAAACATTCTCTTGACAGGACCTCCATATCTATGCACCAATATCTTTATTTTTTTCTACCAAGCCCACTAATGCCACAGTCTTGATAATCTCTTTTCCAAGGTGTAAGAGGCAGCTGATGAACCAAGTGAAATCATCTACTGTGCCTTTCATCCCATCTCAACCACCTCCATACTTGAGAGTGTTATGAACAATGACCACTTTCTGCTACCAAGATCTCTATAATTTGAGATGCCTTGAGTCGTGAATAATAAAAAAATTTAACTCCGTGGTTTTCACTAGAAAGAGGATGTATGGGTGAATAATGAAAGCCTTGATGTAGGGAAGTATTGGTGTGATTCAGCAGCTCAACAATGTCATCACATCCATCTCTCTTCTGTTTGCCATAGTGCCAGCTTCATCCTCACACAGGTTGTGCTTCTTGGTTATAAGATGGCTGCCAACAACTACCACACTCTCATGGACCATATCAAGAGAGAGGGGAGGCATTACAAGTAGGAACTCTCTGAAAAGAATGAGGAAGTGCAATTCCAGAAACTCCTCAGAAACTATTCTTCCGATTTCATTGGTTCCAGTGGGACCATAAGCCCAGCCCTGAACCAATCACCATGTCCAGGGAATGTGGTTTTTACTAACTAAAACAGTCCTGAACCATGTACAAGTGTTTGATCTTCTTCCCACAAAGCATATAGGTTTGCATGGGAGGGGTGCTTATATCTGAATAAAAATTGGGGTTTTCCTAAAAATAAATACTAGGGCTGCAAACACAATTTCCACTATGATTATTATGATGATGCCAGCAAACATGTACTGAATGCTTCTCTGCATGAGGCCTTGATAAGAGCTGGTGAACACTACCTAGAATGGGTTCATAGCATATCTCCAAGAATTCCAGCCAGAGAAGCTTGGGCTTAGCCCTTCTGAAGCAGAAACTCAACCCGGTTCATTTAAAGCTTTCTCATCCCTTTCCCTATCTCTGAACACCCTCATTTTACTGCTTTGTTTGCTTAAAGCCTGAGGCAGACATAATTACTAAATTTAGGCAAGATCCTAAAAGTACCCCATAGGTCTTTCTACTCAAACAGAAATTATTTGTTCTGATGAGCCCCACTCATCACGCCCTGACCTTGGAGCTCAACTAATTTTTCACAAGAAAAATTCTGGGTGCCTGTGACCCTTGCTGTTGAAGATGTTCCCATTAAGAAGGCCATCTTGCCTCCCTCAGCAGGGACCTGATTGGAAACTAGCTATGAGGACTTTAGAACCTGGCACTGAAGGTGAGTAAGTTGGGTTTTATGAAGCACCTGGGAAAGAAATGGAAATCAGATCCCACCTGAGCCAGGTTCAGAATCATCCCTGTGCCACTAAAGTTTTCCAGGAATCCATAAGGAAACGAGCATCTGCCCAGAACATCCCCCCATCGCTGCCTCCCTTCCCTTGGCTGACTCCTCTTCATCCCTCAGTACTCACCTAGCTTGTCTGTTCCTCCAGGAAATCTTGTAGTCTCTTCCCTCAACCTCACAGATTGTATATGTTCCCCTTTTGATGCTTGCCACACTCGTCACCCTTTTTATCTCCACTGTATACTTCACCCATGTTAGCCAAATGGCTTGATGACTTATCTCTGACCCCCACTAGATTATAGATGCCTAACGGGTAGGAATACAGTCTATTTTCAACTATATTCTGAAACTCTATATCCTTAACTATATCCACTATAGCATCTGGCCCACATTAGGGGTTCAATAATTATCACAGAAGAAAGGGAAGGAAGGAAAGGAATATGTACACAGGCACCCAGAGGAAAAATGTCTTGTTGATCCTCTTTTCAGTTCCACCAGCCTCATCATAGAGTTCTTGAGTTGAACTTGGCACTCTCTCTTTTCCAATCCTGCAAACTTTGATGATGATGAGGTATTGTCTCTGCCTGCCTTCTCCAACCCCAGATTCTGGGAGGTCAAGGGAGTGGCTGGCAGAAGAAGTCTGAAGGGGATGATGCAACCTCAAAATTCAACTAGGAAAACCAGATCTTCTACTCTTGGTGGTGTTGAGAGCAGTAGGGTGCCCCACGGTTAGCGACTTCTTTCTCTCTACCCTTTCCACAGCATGAGGCATTCAGGTGAAAAAAGTATTTCATGCCAAAATCAATTGAAGAAATATCGGCCTAAATAGAAGAAAGGAAGCTTCTTTAATGAGGAATTTCTTAGAAGTTGAATATAATGCAAGATATGAATCGGTAAGATAAGGATAGAGGATTCATTTTTTTTCCCCAAATTAGTAACCAAGTGATTTCTTTTGGGTAGGGATTACCAGTATATTTAATCACTGTCTTGTAGAGTAGTACTTCTCAAACCATTTGTGACATAAAGCAAATTTAGGTTTATTTTTATTTCCAATTTGCATGGCCTTACTTCGCATGACTAGAGTATAGCTCATGCTACATGCCATTCATCACATGTGTTTGACAATATCTGCAATGACTATATTTGCTTCAAGAAGACAATCCATTGAAACTTTATATGTTGGAGCAACATTTAAATTCTTACTCTAAATTTCTGTGTTTACCTTATTGCATACCGGTAAAAAAAGAGTTTGTTGAGTAATATTGCCATTAAACACCTGTTAGATAGAATTCCTCTCTCTCAAAATCTCTCCTACCAAGTCAAATGTCCAAAAACATTTCTCTCTCCTTCTGTCTCAGAGAAAAAAAATGTAACTGGAGGGTGAGCTCATGAGCCACCATCTCTCAATTTCCCATATCAATTTCTAGGCTTTCAATTAATTGGTTTTTCATCATCAAAATCCCAAAGTAATAAGTAGCAGGTATGGCAGGTATGCTGGGTGGATAAGAGTATGCCATGGACAGGAATGGCATTATTAATGATCTTATCATTGATAAAATTGCAATTTTTAAAAAATAAAGCCTTAGGTTTAGCTTGCACATGTGTCTGAGACCATCTTGCATGCCTGAGGAAAGTTGCTGATCCTAAAGATTTTTTTTTTCTCTTTGTGTTGCAACTTGAGCTTCTTTTGATGTTTGCCTCTTTGGATATTACTTAAATAATTAAAGCAGCTATTTTTGACCTACTTTACATACAGGAAGTTTAAATTCCATTATTGAATTAGAAAATTATCTAAAGGCGCCTTATTAGAGAGAAAATACCAGATAGATGATAGATAGATAGATAGATAGATAGATAGATAGATAGATAAAATGAATCTGGATTTTTTTAATGAAAAATGTGGATGCCATGAAATCCAGATGATCACAAAGCCCCATTGTGATTCTCTGCAGCCCCCAGGTACAGACTTCCTGCTAACTTCAAAGGGAACTGAAGAGGAAGAAAGTACAGTGCCTTGGGAATGCACCCTAGGCTTTTGCTACCTGGTGAGAAGGTTGCAATGTCCATGTAGTTTATTTCTACTAAAGGACCTGATGGAAGAGTTCATCTGCCTTCGTGGGCAGCCCTCAGAACCAGTTCTGTAGTGAAGAAGGAGAATAGCTCCAACCACAGGAGATTTTGAGCCCGGTTCTATCAATCAGGACTGATTCTGTGGAGTCCTGGACAAGTTGCCGAACCTCTCTGCACCTCTACATCCTTATTTATAAGATAGAAATAATAAAACTAATCTTCTGGAACAGTTGTAAAGATTAAAAGTAAAGTTTTAAAGTTCTATCATGTAACATACTCAGTAAAGGGTACTTTTATTATTATAATAATTATTATTATTAATATTATTACACATGCCTGGGGATTCTCCTCTCCCCATATAAGATACAATGGGTCTTTTCCCTCAACCACTTCTTCATGAAATCCAAGGTTTTACACACTCAACCTGTCAGCCCAGCTTCCCTGCTTGTGGCAGCCTGGAAGAGATCCACACAACCATGACGCCAATGTCACTAGCAAAGTCACAGTGGAGATGGTCTCTCGTCATTGGTCTTAGCCCTCTCCTACTAGTTTTCAAAGGCCTGGCCTCACTCAACTTGCCTATAGCTCTCATACTTCTAGCCTTGTTGATGACAATTTGAGTGCATCATGTTATCACCTAGGATAGTACTAGAAGATGTTTAGGAGATGCAACTGTGTACTACATACATCCCTCTCTCCATTCAGAACACAACCCAGGGAACTCAGCCCTAACTTTTATGATAGAGGAGAGAATACTATGCATATTCAGGCAGGAGAGGTCTTTATTCTATCCATTCTTCAGTCTTGCTTCCTATGTCTGGAAGATCAGCCACTCTCTCAAAGTCGTCCTGTTCCTCTCCTGTTCCAGATGGAACTCTGCATAGACTGTCCTGTTCTGTTAAACATTCCTAAGTGAGAGCCTTAAATTCTCCATTCTTATTTATGCATTGATTCAATGACCCATTACTCTAAAGGAAGGCTCTAAAGGAATCAATGATGAGAGGGAAATAAAAGATGCCATCTCTATCCTCATGAGAAAGGCAGACATTCATCAAATAAATAACATTACAATTGTGTTTGTGTGCTGTGCAGTACCTGGTACTATTAAAGGAAATAATAAGGGGAATTGACTTGGCCCAGGACATCAAGGAAGGATTGTCTAAGGCAGTGATCCTAGCTTCAACCTGAAAGATGAGGGACATTAACTAGATGGAGTGAAAGCAGAGGTGGAGGTAAGAGGTTATTTCAAGTAGAGGAAATATATATTTAGAGGCCTGAAGCTATGGCGTATGCAACTGAATCCCCCGGGAAATGAGAGTGAGACTCATGAGACAAGAAGGCAACATCCATATTATGTAAGACTTTGTAGGACCTCTCACAGATTTTGGTCTTCTGCCCGATAGCAATGAGAAGCCACTGAAGTGATGTCAGTGGTTGGAAGATGGTATGATAAAATTTGCACTTTCAGGAAGATGTTATTGGGTTTTCTGCTAATTGGATATCAACCATCTTCATAGATCTACTTCCAAGACCAATCTCTCAGCTGGCTTTGAGACAGGGAACCAGGAAGCAGCATGAGTCAGGGGCTCCCTATAATTGAATGCCTCTAATCTCTGCTGCCCTGTTGGTGATGACTTGAGCATGCCATGATTTCGTCACCTTCCTTATCTTGGCTTCTGGTGCCAAGGAGCTTTCAGCATATCCAACTTCTCTCTGCCTGGAGGGCAAGAAAATCACCACCCTTGATGCCAGCATCTTCCTCTCTGCAGAGTGGGCTCAAAATACTGAGTTTCCGCTTCATTAAAGGTCAAACTCGTGGATGAGTAATCCCTACTAAAAACTTTTATCATTTTGGATTACATTCTCCATTGTATTTATTGCCAAAACCAACATATTAATAATTAATCCATGAAGTCCATGAAAAGCAGTCCTCTTTTTCCACTGCTTTATTTCTCATTTGCTGCACAGTAGTTACTCAATAAATATTTGTCGTATAAATGAACTTTAGAAATATTTTTACAAGAAGAAAACTAAATAAAGAAATCACTCATCGTCTTACCATTCTAAAACAACTTACTATTTTTTATAGAATGTTTTTGATCTAATGTTTATAGACATCTATATTGAATTAACTTTTGAGCATGTAATCCTGAATTATATATGACATAGACATTGTTTCCCATATGTTCTTATCATAAATATGTGAGTAAACCTCTTAATTAGCCACTTGGATCTTCCTGGTATGTATGCTGATGGACACAAGTTGCATGCATGACAATACATAAACAGGCAGGAATATATATGAGTAAAGCTATAACCCCATAAATTAATTGGGGATCTTTTTCTCCATACAGAGGCAAAAGAAATGCAACACACCTCAAGGGAAGAATGAACGAAGGAAGGGAGGAAGGAAGGAAGGAAGGAGCAAAGAAAGGAAAGAAAGAAAGAAAGAAAGAGAAAAAGAATTGGAATCTAGGAATCAAAAGTACTAAAAGTTTAATTTTTTGTATTATTTAAAGCTTTGAGCACCATTTTTCAAGCAAAGAAATAGGATTCTAAAGATAAATCGTGTTTGTCCAAGATTACAGATCTAGGAATCTTGATCCCTGAGGCTGATCCCCTGGCCAACACTTTGGAGCCTCTCTCACTGACATCAATAAGCAGAAATGTTCTAAAGAAATGAATAATTTTACTTAATGTTGATACAGATAGTAATAATGCATCAGAAACTTCATTTTTTAAGAGTGGCACCAGCCCACATTAACATCCTCATTTGCAATCAAAAATATTGCAAAAAAATATAAATTATTGTGACCAAAAAGGATAGTCACATAGGGAGGTGCAGTTTGAAGAAATATTTTGTTTTTTCACTAAGAAATAATTAGTCCTCTATTTTATAAAGTTCATCTTCTGCCTATTTTTTAGATTCAGATAATAGTGGCTAATCTCATTGTCATAAAATCTGGGAGGTAGATGATATGTCTGGAATAGTTTGACTTAAAATGTTTTCTCTGTGACATGGGGAGTGAGGGGTAATGAACATCTCAACCAGAACAGGAAAGGGGACTGAAGATCAGCATTCAAACAGCCCTA